AGCCGGCCACACCGCTCGTGAAAACGCCGGGTTAGCTGCGCTTGCACTCGCACAGCGCTCGCACTTCAGAACGGCTCCGTCCACGTTTATGGAGCGGTTCCGCTTCAATAACCGGAGCCGCCGGGACGGGGAGACCCTCGAGCAGTTCGTCGCTGCGCTACGAGGGTTAGCGAACACCTGCGCCTTCGGCGACCAGTTGGACTCGCTACTCCGCGGGACCGTTTCGGCTGTGTCATCAACAACCCCGCCATGCCGACGCGACTCCTGGAGCTCCCCGACCCCTCGCTGGACGACGCGATAAAGGCAGCGCAGGGGATGGAAGCCGCAGCAAAGGTGGCCAGCGAGATAGCGCGTGCGGCCGGCTCGCCGTCGACGAAGACGCGGAAGCGGCGATGAACAAGATGGAGGCGAGGAGCGGTGCCTGCAGCCGCTGCGGTGCTGCTCACAGTGCCAGTTCGCCCAAGCACAATAGGGAGTTTTAGTAGACCGTGTTTCCCGCTCCGCTAAGCCCCTCCGCTACCCGGATCTCTACATCCAAGGCCATCGGCGCGCAGGCGCAGTGGCGGTTTCTTCGTAGTGGAGGGCTAGCGGAGGGGGAAACACGGTCTACTAAAACTGCCTAATGTTTCACGTGCGGGAGAACCGGGCACGTCGCACGAGTCTGCCGAGGGGGGAGGACGAGCGGAGGCCAACAGCAGCAGCAGCCTGGTTCAAGCCCGGGTTCCAGCCAAGTCCCCGGCCAGGGTGGCCGTCGCAAGAAAACGCGGCGGGGACGAGCAGCACCAGGCCCGGGTCCCTCTTCCACGTCGTGATTCGCCCGGGTCCACGTTGTGGCCGAGGCCGCAGACTTGCGACGTGTGGCACACCAATAAAATTTCACCATCTGTGCCACCTTACTTGATGAGGGGAGTTAACTCGCGTTAACGCCCCTCATCAGCTGTGGCAGTAACATTCCGGCAAACAGATTCCCCACCCTGAACTCTAACGACCAAACCAATCTCGCTCGGAGTCATACCGCCGCTTCTCGGCACCGTCGCTGTTGTTCGTGAAGACCCTGCTGTTGCTAGTTGAGATGGTGATTTCACAACACCTTCCGTGTCACCTCTGGGAGTTCGAATAATTTCGCAAACCACTAGAACAGTGGTTCCCAAATGGGGGTCTGCGAAGCCACTTCAGAAGTCCGCAAGACCCTCAACAATTTTTTTTTTTTAGTTGGCACGTTTTTTGTACTTTAGTCTGGACGTGACTAATTTGCAACCTGCTTCCGGAACTACGAGAGCAATCCGCACGAGATCATCTCGGTCACCTCCTTTCCCTCTTCCGCACACCTTCCGAACTACGTGTCTCCGGTGCCCCGCGGCGGGATTATCGTATCGCATATCCTGATTTTCGACTGGCATCGGTGGCTGTGCCGTGGAGTCTCACCCGGTTGGCCTAGGACGCAAAGTTACGTGTTTGTCTGAGCCGCGTAGCCATGTCCAAGTAGCAATAAAAGGTACCTGTTTCATGCTCCAGATCTGTTAACTTACTTATGTACCCCCCCCCCCCCCCCCCCCCCCCCCGCTGAAAGGGGTCCCCGACACATCTATGCCTGGGAACCACTGCACTAGAACGTTGTCACGAGAGCGTTTGAGACGCACACAGCACCGAACCAACCGATGATAACGGTCGTTTTCATATCTCACTTGTCCCCTTCTTGACACACTGGCGAAGCGCACGCAGGCACACAACTGTTGATAGCTGCCGCGCCGAAAACGGTATCTTCGGCATGGCTCTTTTTCTTTCGTTGTTCTTGGCAGCAGCCGATAAAAGTCGGCCGCGCCGCCGCCGGTTTGTGACATATTGAGCTTCCGGCTCAGCAACAGTTCCTTTGATTTCCTCCTCTCAATACTCTGACTGACTGCCGGTTTTGCACTTCGGAGTTCGTCTCTCGGCGAGCCTGCTTGGGGTTAAAAAGTCCGTCTGCTCTGCTTCGAGTTGTTTTCTTGGCGTGGCCTGGAGCCCCTCTCGGCCGAACGCAACAGGTGGTGACAGCGGTGGGATCGCGGATCTACGGGAGTGCTTCCGCAGCGGTCGATGGGGCTTTGGCTCTTGCCTTTCTAGAAAAGATTTGGAAAGGCGAAGGAAACGAGGTTCGCAAGGTCGCCGTATTGGCCGTAAAGGCCGGGACGTCAAGTTGGATCTGTTCGGATGCGTCGGTTGTTATCGCGGGATTGTGACGGCTCGAACGCTTGTATCTCGCGTAGACAACGAATGCAAAGCAGGGGCTGGAGCGTGGCAAGTTGCAAGCACTGACCTCTGTTATCGTGAGAGGAAGAACGAGAAAAAGACCGACAGACAGTCCGAAGGACGCAGACGCAAGGTTAGGCCTGTTCATTTTGCCGCCACTGATTGTTTACTTTTTTATACTGCTCGCCGCCGGCGTTTTTACGTGGAATAAAGCATGAACAGATTAGGCAACGACTGTGCAAGTGATGGTTTGTTACCTTTTTGTGTTTATTAAAGTCGTATCAGCAATCTGAGCTCTACCGATGGCAATCGCTGTGCACGCTTCGCCGTTTCGAGGCGGCCGGAAGGTGACGGTTGCCGAACGCGGTCGTCTTCTATGCCATGGGCTCCGTAGTACGGATAATTTCGCCCAGCCCGTGTCGCGTATTATTTCTGCAGCTCAGCAGTGACAGTTGTCACTGGTTGTCGGAAAGATCAATCGGCTGAAGCGTTGGTCGGCTTGTCAAGTTCGAGCAGCGGCCATTTCTAACGGCCGACCGTCTGGCGCAGGTCGGTTGGTCGCTCCAAGAATGCGAGTCCATCTTCCGTTCGTCGACTCGAAGCTGGTCCCACGGACCAGAATTTCGCCTGCCTGACTACGAAAGTTATCTGAATCGCCAAACTGAATCGTGACAACATTTTGACGTCACCCCTAACTTTATTATTTCAACAGCATAGCTCGAAGTCCATCGAAATCCGTAGGGAAAAACTCAATCCCAACGTCACACCACGTGACCAAAAGGGCAGCCAATCAGCGACCGATTGAGTTAACTTCATCGTTGAGTTTGCGATCTATAGTCAGTTACAGGTTAAGAAGGTAGCGGCAAATGCCCCTCAAAGGGAATCAGATATCCCTCCGCCACCTCCGCATCCAATAGCGTCCCACCGTTTCCGTGACGTCGCGGCCAACGCGCGAGGAGGGTCTTGGCTTTCTGTACATATTTGCTTTATCTTTCGACCTTGACTTAGCATTGTGGAAGCCACGAGAGGGAGATTAGAGTTCTCCCCCACCCACGGAAACAAATACGACTTTCGGGGATTAGCTTCCCCCCCGATGGATAGAAAGGCTGCTTTCAGGGGCTCGGTTAGCCTCTCCGATGAATACAAAGGTCGCTTTCTTAAACAGTGGGATCGGGGACAGGTTGGAATCCATTGAAGTGGAACAAGAAGCGTTTCCAGTGAACTCTTCTTTCGACTGCGGAGAGATTTGAAACGGGCACATCACACTTGTGGGAGGAGCTTCTCCTACCTTCTTGACTTGTAACCGACTATAGCATAGGCAGACAGATCGTCCTCCTCCCGAAAAAGGCTGCACGGAGAACTACTCTGGACCGCTCGACGATCTCCATGCGGCACACGGAGAGATTGCTCATATCTGGCGAGAAGAACAAGAATCCGCTCGGCGAGCGCGCGCCGAATGCTCGCTATTTGCCAGGAGAAGGGGCTGTTAGATTGGAAAGCCGAAGCATAAGTTAGCATTCCGGGAAAGGTTCGTTCGTGCATCTCGCTTGAAAACGAATTGGCGTGCAATCTATTGAACGACGGTGCGCCGGTATCGGTGTAGGCCATAGACGGCTTCTGTCTGGCACTGCAAGACGGAGGCACAAAATATCTGACAGGTTTGAGAGTTTTCTGCGTCGACAAGCGGGTTCAAGAATGTTGTCTTTACTTTAAATCTGAACAGTACACATGGTCTAAAAAAAAGATCGGCACAGAGTAACATTCCACATATCTGCTCGAAGCTATAGTCTTCAAAACTTCCAGGTGTTTTAAAACGTTGGTAGAAACTTGACGACGTCGCCTTCTTTTTGTTTTAGACTTTGCCGCTCCACGCGGGGGCCTAACTAATATGTCTCCAAAATAATTTCGGCTTCTGGCACCCGCGTCCACGAGATGCCGGGTTCGTCATGCCCGTGCGGTCGGTAGGAGCTCCTTCGGTTCGTCGATAGCTTCGGTGAGTCGCGCTCCTGTACGCCATGCGCCGTTTAGTTGCTGCACTCGGAGTATGAAACTCGGAGTGTCAGAGCAGGAGTAAAGGAGCGCGGACTTACGTGCCCAGTCGATACTGAAAATCGTAAGCAGAGTCGGACCAAGTAAATCAGTCCTAACAAGTCGGATGGCCACTGGAAACAATGATAAACATCTTGTATCTAATGTTCACACCGAGCCTTAACCCAACCAACCTTCATACTTAAAAGTTTTCGAGGTATGCACTTCTCCTCGCAATTACCCGGCCAACGTTTGGTCAACGGGCCGGTGTCAACTGGAAGAGCAGACGACGAGCAGAACCGTTTAAAAGAGCAGACAACAGTTCGAACGACCAGGCGGCCGTTTGAAGTTGAAGACGCAATGAACGTAGTCCGCAGATGGTTCGTACAACTTGCCACTTTTTCCCGCGATCATGCTGGAACAAAACAAATAAATTTGATGACCACATGTATCCGTGAAGTCAATCCAAAGTGCTTCCTGCCCAAGCAATTGTGGTCCGACAGCATTCGGTTTTCCCTTTTCACGGTGGGCAAGGAGGGCAAGGAGGGCCCGGATGCAATCCACGCTCTATCCTTTTAGGAAACATCAACAGGACAACCTACGAAGAGGTTGGCTTTAGCTGGAGCGGCGTTCCGTAAGTTTATGTCTGGTTAGCGACACCGTACTCTTTCCCTGCAGCCAAGACAGTGGCCGTTCAGCACCGGTTCAGCATGGCAGGCCGTAGTGCAACAAGGAAATGACAGTTGAAAGCTCTCACGCTCTTTATTCCCTTTTAAACCGTTTGTACACGTACATGTGGACAATTGAAGATGGCACAGACTGAGAATCACTGAACAAAAATTTTGTTTTCCTATGTAACACTGTAGAAAAAAAAAAAAACACCATGACACAAAATTGAGCAATATGTGTAGAAGCATACAGAGGATAACAATTGTCACCTGGCCTTAGATGAGCTGTGATATCCTTGCTATGGCAGTTATAGAACGGGGATCAATGTATGCATATGTTAAGAACAACGCCGCGGCATGGCAATAATACTTGAAGAAAGTTTGCGTCGTAGTCTTTTGTTTTAAAGCTTATTTAGAGGTGTCTGCTGGTCCTTCAGTGAGAGACCTTGCAAGTGCGGGAAACACAACAGGTTGTAACAAGAAAACTAAATGCACATGCAAATATACACCTCTCTTCCACTGGTTTCAAGGTATTCAGTCGTTGTATAAGGATAGCATTATTGTGACCACTAATGAGTGAGTATAGTCACTGCTTCTCTGGCCAAGTGGACCTTCGATAGGGGAGACAGATGTTGCCATATTCTCGACACAGCAACTTAGTGTCTGAGAATCATACAGTTGCTATTTCTCTTGAGGCTTTGGCACTGTCCTAAGAGAGATCTGGACAGCTTAAGGCACTGTAGCTGCAGCCTCAAACAACTAACCATCTAGAAGAAAAAAAACTTCTAATCCGCACAAAAGGCTTTGCAATCTTACATGATTGGTTCCTGGAGTCACATGTTTGCAACAATGTGAGATCCATAAGCTCCAACACTTTTGCCTCGGGCAATTTGGACACCAAACTAACCCATGCAGTATGATCAGGGAAAACAGTCATTAAAAATGGAACGTTTATATCAACAAAATGTGGCTGTGTGTCTGCGCTGTGTCTGCCTTTCTTGATCTGGTCCCTCGTCCTTTGTTCTGCTTTAATTTAAAAAAAAATAACATATAATGAACACACGTTAAATGGGCGTTTTCGTAGTAGAGACGTTCCTTATAACATTTGACCGTACAATGTTACTGCGTTGCATTCGCTTATTCGGTTCATTTGACAAGATGAACCGAATAAGCGTGCTCTTACGCCTATTGCGTATTCCTACGCTCTTAAGTATTCGACGAGATATAATGTTTACTTCAGTTTTCACCTCGCGAATTGCTGCATTCACCCCAAGAGGGTCTTCTTTTATTCTTGCAACCTCATTGATAGATTCAAGTTGTGCCATTCGGCTGTTGATATTCCTTATGCCTGCATTTATTTCCCTTAGTTTGTCCATTGTTTCTTTTATATACTGTTTGTTTGATTCCTCAGATTCCTTCACAGCTACTAGCATTTCATTAAGCTTATCATGGTCTAGGTCTGTTTCTACATCACCAGCGGACATCAACAGTTGGGTCGAACAATGTCGTGAGACATGGTTCCACGCATTATTTCTTGTGTTGTTCCACACGACGTCTCCCACGACAATGTCTGACGAAGGCCGGCCCTTCGGCTGGTTCTTCAAGACGAGCTCGTAGCACTGGTCAGGGAAGAGCCACAGCTTGCGCACGATGGCTTTGATTTGGCCACTGATGTTATCCCTGGTCTCTCTCGTGACCGTCTCGCTGAGGTCCACTTCCGGGTGGAAGATGAACGAAATAGCGGGCCCCGGTCGTGCCAGGGCGTGTCCCAGGCAATCCAGGACCTTGGGCGGGACAAAGAAACAAGAGTCCAGAGTTCAAGCAGATTCCACGGTCGCCTCTCCCAGGTGCGAGCCGAGGGGATCGAATGTATCTAGTTTTTTTCTTCGGCTCTTTGGGCGAGTGCCGTAGGGCGTCGAGAGAAGCGCATTTCAACACGAAAGAAATAATGTGTTTTTTTCCTGCATGAACCTTGTGTTTTTACTTAATCAAGGACATTTTGAACTTTTTCGCCTTCGTCCCTATTTTGACAAAAATCAACCTGGCGGTTGCTTTTTCAGGTTAATCTCTATGGTACATTGAAAACGTGGAACCCCACTTATGAATGTCAAGGATTCGTTTTAACCTGCGTTTGGCAAAAGTAAAACAAAACAAAACAAAATTGTTCCGTGTCTTTTTTTAAAGTTTACGGCAGCTGGGGCTTGCTGAACCAACCCATATAACTCATCCACTCCTCGGTACAATTCTTAACGGGTATAGGAGACTGCATGTTCTAGCTCCCGAATATGTTTTTACACTACCTGTAACATTACTTTCACCCTTTTAACCTTACTAACTTTTGACTCCGTTTTTGTCTCTTCCAGCTTGCATATTAATATAGACTGCCATCTAAGTCAGTGCAGACTATAATGACTGACATGTTGAGAACGGCCGGTGGTCCTTTAATTACCCCCACCCAGCGCGACTGCACGTTTCCACGTGCGGGACTCCTGGGCCTGCACAACATCCTACCAGGCTCTAGCTGGGACCATCGACACTCCCCGAATACAGCCTTGAGGGATCTCACATTCCAGTCCTTACTGCCCGGACATGAGCAGTGTAAATCAGTTCTGCGGGATCGCCACTCCCGAGTTGGAATGATTCCGGAACGATTCCGCACTTTCGCGACCACGGAAAGGAATGAAGTGGGGGCAGCACCAGGGGGAATGGAATGGGAATGCAATTAGATGCAGTTTGCCCGGAATTGAATAGAAATTGAATAGGTTCGGCTGATGGCACACTTTGCTAGCGCATATGAAATGGCTCTTGAAACAGCATTATTGCATTGGAGGTGACCGACGGCTTGATTGTCTCACTGGTTTAATGATCATTCGAGGATGAAAATGGCAGCGCCCTCAGTAGTGCAAACAAAACTGAATAGTTGTAGGCGGACAATATGTCGTTCCTGGTGCCGCGAGACGTGACAAAGCGGCTGTTGTAGTCGCGCGATTCTCATGTCGCTTTAACGAAGGAGTCGAACCAAAAACCGGAGAAAAACCGTTACTTTTAGCTGAACCAGAAAAAAACTGCAAATGAAATCGGACATTTGATATTAAACCACAAATAGAACGGAACCGTAATCTCATGTGGCAGTTACCGGTTCATTGGAAACGGTTTGGCTTAATAAAGTGTGATCCGCGCCTTCTTGCGGGTGGCGACGCGAAGTCGATTAAATATTCCTGACGGTGGCATCAGCGGCTTAGTTACCACACAAACGGCAGCAATGAAATGGTGACAGCTCAATAATAATGAAACAAAATAAGCATATTTCATGTCTATGTGCATCACGAACTCGCCTGCGCGAGTTCGTGATGTGGTGGCGTACACTTCTATGACTTGTTTTAGGACGGACCGCAAAGGATGCTACAAGTCACCAGAGCCAATAATAGCTCGGAGGGTGTCTCGCGTCCTACTAGTTGGGAGGATCGACGTGCACTCTAAGAAAAAAGGGAGGAGAAAGGTAGCAAAAGCGACTGTCCCTCCTTGTCGCGGACAAGTTGCCCAGAGAAGGGAGGAACGGCAGTTCAGATGAAAGGAGGAGGGCGAGTTCCTCCTTGTTCAGTTGGCGCAGGGGTAGAACATCGCGCTACTGACCAAGTGGTCAACGGTTCACTCCCCAGGAAAGTGTTTTTTTTTTTTTTGTGGTTTTTTTTTTTTTTTGTTTATTAAAACACACATAAACAAACCCAGACCGATGAAAGGAAAACTAAAGTCCTTATTATTCTCCGAGACGTTTTCCTCGTCCAGGCAGACCGGAGAAAGCTTTCGCCCTCCCGACCCATCTTCTTTCGGTTTCGTTTTTCGAGCACATCGCGCACGTTGTTTAATAAATTAATGTTGAGTTGATTGAGCTTCAGCGGCAGCGAAGGCCGCCTGTAATTCCGTCTTCTAGTCCAAACGTGCAGAACATTTCGGTTGCATTGACGTTTTTACCACTAATTTTATCAAACGAGCTAACGAAGCCGCTAGAAACAGCGAAGTTCCGGAGCAGTGCCAGCAGCGCTACATACACTGGGTAAGACGGCCGTCTCCAATTTGCGGGACACACGCGGAACTACAGCAGCGAAACCACGAGGAACTGTGTCGACGTTTTCGACGTTATGGAAATCGCGGGAACTGCGTCCAAGGAAGGCAGGTTTTCCTGCCGGCTGCCTGGGTGCCTTCCGTGCTGAGTTCGGTTCCGTTCTCCCGTGCCGAGTGCCAACCGGCGTTCAAGGTGATTCTTCTGCGTGTCAGCAACATCGTCAAAGTGGTTCTGTATTTCTTCGTGTCAGCGACATCGTGATGGCAGTGTTGTGGGTTGTGAACAGAAGTCTGGAATTATCGCCGATGTGACTGTGTGTTCGCGTATCAGTGGTGTAACAACAAGATGAGATGACGTAAACTGTCGGGCCGTTATCGGAGGGGCCGGGGTGTCGCAGGATGACATTCCGCTTTACATTAAAAAGTTTAAAACCACTTGAGGGATTAGGTGCAGTCGATCGACGTGTGGATAGTCATGTTGGAACGCTGGTCTGAAAGGTAAGCTCCTATCGTAAAGTGGCCAATGTGACTGTCGGTCCCTGAGAGCGATTGCGCTCTGGGGAAAAGACAACACTACGAAAGTATGACGGAAAGTACGTATATTTATAATGGAAGTTTAGCATAAAAAAAAAGACAGGCAAAATCGAAAAAAAAACAAAAAAACGCTATCCTTTATTTTACTGTTTAAATATATTACGGTTCCTGTAGAAACTGCCCTCTAAGTGGCGCGCTGGGATGAGCGCTAGAAGTTTTCGAGCTCGCAACGGCGCAGCTCCGTACACTTAACAGTTGTCGGAAGTCGCGGCTTTGACTGCATTCAAGTTGATCGAAAAGCGATTTTTGTGCCCGTGAAGCATCACTTCCAGCTGAGTGGATATCCGCTCTACAGAGATTAATTCAAGACGGCAATTGCAGCTTTGCGCGAACAGCATAAATAGAAAAACGAACACTACAATATAAATACTGGCTACGAAGGGCCATGCGGGAAAACAAACTCATGGCTTGGAACCACATTGGCGTGGCTCGATTTATTGGCTTTCAAATAATTATGGCATGATCGAGCGCCTTCTTTTTAATAAGAGATTCATCCCCTGAGCCATTAAAGATAGCCTCAGATGTATGACATTGCTGGAAAAAAATGAACATGTTCGGAATATTTTTTTTTGCTTAGGGAGTCACCGAAAAATTCCGTACGTTCAAAACGACCAGTATAAAAGACGGAAACGCAGGGCTCGGGTGTAGTGATCGGGGTAGTGTGCTGTTGTATTGATGTTTGTATGTGCGATGCCTGTGTATGCGTTCAATATATGTTGACCTGATGTTTGTAATGTGCGCAACGTGTCTCTATGTGTTAAAGATTCCGAAGAAAAGCAAACGCAATTGTGGCGTAAGGAAATGCAAATATTTTTTTGTGAAAACATGAATTGGGCGGTACCTAGCGCCACCTAGCCTAGCTACGTGCGATTACTCTGCTTGACCCTGCCATCTGGTGGCAAGCGATTTAACATCCTTTGACGCTACGCGGCTACGCCATAATTTCGTGTTACCGTGCTGAGTGAGCTAAGCCAAGAGGTTGCTTCGGATTTGCTTTTTTTTTTTGAGAGACGCTTTTGGTTTTGCGGGCGAATGATTTTCACTCCGTGATGTGCGGTTGACGCAACGGTTGACGAAGGAATTGTGGCTCGAGGAATAGCAAAGGTAGGATATAAAGTGCGCGAACTGAGTGCCGGTTATCTCCGTTGAACATCGCAGTGCTGACGATGAGAAGACTGAGTGACTGCATGCTTTCGAAACGTAAGTTTCTTTACCTGCAGGGGTAAAGAAACTTCGGAAATAAATCCAGTTCGCGGAAAGCTCGTGTTACGTTTTTATTTCCTGCTCCTCTCGCTTCGTGCAATAGACTTAGTGTTCTCGTTAAGCCTTACCGAGCTCGATTTGCTCGATTCGTGGCCGCCATAATGAGATGCAGTCGACGCAGGAACTTTTCCTCCCCTGCTTAAGGGACGAAAGTTTCTCCCTTTCTGAAGGAACATATGTGTCAAGAGCGTTCCTATCTTTAGGGAGGACTATACTGACCCTTTTTTCTAAGAGTGTGGGGATCGCTAAGTCGCGAGACTAGAAAGTGTTGATTGGCTAGTGTAGCTCGTGGCGTCCATCGCAGTACATCGTTAGATGAAACAGTACATCTGACTCACGAGAGGCTAAAGTGCCATTATTTGAGAGTGCGCGGGTGTGCACAACTTTCTGTTAAGCAATATTCCTCAAGGAAGAAGAAAGCGAGCCTAAACATAAAAATAAAACCAAAAAATTGACGGCTGTCAGCGCGTTTGGTCTGCGGTGGCAAAATCTGTATGCGCCAAGCGGCGAAACCGCATTACTGCGGCGCCGAAGGCCGGGACGTCGCCCAAAGCCCTGGACGCTGCTTGAAGAAAGTTTTTTCTGTGTGCGTTTCCAGAAACAACAAGTCGCCTGTTGTCGTTTATGTTCTTCTTTGTTTTCACAGTCTCTCGACCGGACCTCGCTGTCTTTCTGCTCTTCAACTCAGTCGTTCGAGCAAGTCGTTCGGGCGTACGGTGTGGGTATAGTTTGCCGTTTCAACCTGGACGAACATCGCCGGCGTGCGGTCGTGTATCGACTGCGTGATGCCCGTTAAAAGACCTACAATCAGCAATCGTACTGCGTTGGCTAAATTGCTCGTCTACAGTGGGTAACAATGTCGCCATAGTATGACGGACGAAACTCCTGTTGTTTAAACAACTATACGACTAATTTGTTTTTCAGGGTAGTTTGGGATTACGGTGCATGCTACCGTCACGACTCACGGTGTCACAGTGCGTGCCGGATGATTGACTTCACATGCGACAACTGTACTTTAATAGGGTTTCCAAGTGCCTGTACAATGACGTAATTTTCATATAACGGCATTTCCATTAAAAGGTAAAGACCACAAAACTAAATTAAGCGCACATTTGTTTTCCTTCCCTCGTTTCTGCAGCAGATCTTCTGATGAACTATTTTTTTTTGTTCAATTCAGTGAGAAGAAAGGTGTTGAATCCACCTTTTCTTCTCACTGACTGGAAGTTTACTTTTTTTGTTTCTTGAACCGCGCCGGTAACCGACCCATTATTTGAAAAGCATCACTGAACCAGAACGGAACCGGAACAAAATGCAAAGCTACTGAACTCTCAGCTTTTGAACCCATCCGATCTTCTAGTGTTTGTATGGAACACAAATAAAGAATTGGACGGAATATGTTAGGAAATAAAAAGCATCGTGCAGCAAGAGTAAACGTTCACGTTTTCAGGCGCGCTTCATAATAGGGTGCTACAGTCTCCTGTGCTGGCGCTGTGTACCGATCGCACTTTGTCAGCGGTTTTCTTTTCTTGCCGCAGTGCATGGAGATTTGGGAAAGGTATGCGCCCTGAAACTGAGGGAGAGGAGAAGACGAGAGCGCGCGGGGACGTCTGAACACCGAGCTCTGATTGGAGAGATTAGAGGGTAGACCAAGAGCTGTAGCTGCCCTTGTCTTCACTGCAGTCGTCGAACCCGTCTGAATGCGAACGTTAAAAGCCAGACGCCGGCATTCCGCGTTCTGACGCGTTCCACGAGTGTAGTGAAGACACAGGCAGCTAGCTTTAGGTCTAATCACTAATCATTTCAATCAGAACTTGGCGTTCTAAAGTCACTCTACTCTCATCTTCCTCAGTTTCTCGGCAGATACGCGGCGTGGCTTGGAAGAACGAACGAGTGGTACTGTTGGGCAAGTATTCGAAGCCCTGGACAAACTATAGACATTTTTAAGGCCTTATCAGACAAACAAAACGCTAAATACGTATCTATAAAGTATAACTAACGCTCGCAAAAAAAGATTTTTTTTTTTATGTTTGGCGTTTGTTGCCACTCACAAGCCTTTTGCGCTAGATCGCGCGATCGATGTTTGCAGTGACACGAAGTGCCCCAAAGTGCTTTGTGCGACAACCCTTCGGCTTTGTAGAAATAGCGCTTTGAGGAAGCATTCGTACGTTTTTTCACTCGTCTCCGCGTTCTATAACGTTAACAGCTTTATGATCCTTTTTTTCCAGTAACGCAGGGTGGCTGTCAGTGGCTGGCCGTTTTCCTTACGTTTGGGGATCAGAGGAATGAAACTCTCTGGAATGGAGTTGGAATAAAATGGGGAGGTTTCCATTCCGCAACACCGGTGTAAATAAACTTTTTTTTTTCTCTTTCCAGCGGAGCTTTCTGTCTTCAACTGTGCTTCGGCATTTCTGAAGCCTCACGCGTGCTTGCGCAGCCAAAGCACGACGGAAAGCAGAGGGCTCGTCCTGGAGGTCGAACATTCGGAAGGGAACCAAACGAAATGCACCCAGTGTTGCCGTGCACGTTTGTGCGCGCCGACACCAGCCGCTCGGGGGAAGTACTAAGAAACAGCCCGCTCACCCTGACGAAAAGCATCCCTTGGTTGTCAGGGTGCCAATATTGCGCGTCGTCATTTTCCAGGACCTGGCTCATGACAAACGTCTTGAGGGAATACGACGAGAGATTCCAGCCGTACGAGTCCCTCATGGCCTGGAGAAAAATTCGACAGTCACACTTTCGTTCGCCAGTCTGGCACTGCGATCTGACAATTGCAAATTGGCTCGCTTAGACGTGCAGTCGAACGCGAAGAATGGGAGATGGCGCTATTCCCCGCCAAATTTGACGGGAAAATTGTGACATCGTGTCGTGCGGTACTGACACCCCGATGACATGTCACACCATATCATGTGACACCGTTGTGCCACGTGAAACCAAAAGGTCGCATGGCAATGTGATGTCTTGCGACACCGTGCGACGCCACGTGAGAATGTGCTGTCGGACCAACACGACCCAGAAAGATCCGCGGAGGGTTCCCAAATAAAGGCGTAATTTTAAAAGTGCCGACTGGAGACAACAGACTGTCTCGAGTTCACCACTGCGGCATAACGATTGACCGCCGATTTCATTGTTTAGCCAAACTATAATCTAAAGTGTAAAAAGAAAAAAAAAAGAATGTTTTTTGTCCGTGAACCCCCCCCCCCCCCCCCCCAAAAAAAAAAAATCTAGGTTTATTTAGCCTTTCATTTTTATAGGGATATTTCTTTACTCAAATGGTGCTGATTCCCCTTATAGTGCTAATACACACCAAACAGATGGCAACGCCTTTCAGTAGAGGGGGCGGCGTCCCCTTGCCAAAACCACGGCAGCTGAGTTTTCGTCTACGGAGGTCCTCTCATGTACATCTCAGAATGTTCACGGTACCTTGAGTAAGCGAATGATGGGCTTCACACAACCCGTGTCTTCGATTAGCCTCTTTTCCATGTTCGGGAAGTGGAGCCGCCATAGGTGGGACTTGGGCATGGACATGGGAGGCTTGGGAATCAGGAACCAGTTGCAATCCTTCAGTAGGAAAGAAGATAGAAAAGTAAACACTGCGATAACAAGGAACTCTAGGTAAAAAAAAAGGAAAGCCGTTTACAACTCCCTGCAACGCCGAATTGGAGCGCAGCTCTTGAGGAGGAGGAGGGAAGGGTACTAAGGGGAGGGTAGACCACTCCTCCTCCTCCTCCTTCTCCTCCGCCTTCTCCACCTCGTCCCCTCAATCTCGAATATGCTCCGGGGGTTCACCTGACTCCCGGTGTCGCGTGACCTCGGGGAGGGGGTCACGTGACTTGGGGAGCCGTGACCTTGGGGGTCACGTGACCTCTGGGAGTTACGTGACCTCGGGTGTCACGTGACCTTGGGGTCACATGACCTTGGGGGGTCGCTGGGGGTCACGTGGACTTGGGGGTCACGTGACCTTGGTGGGTCCCGTGGCCTTGGGGTGGCCTTGGGGGGGGGGTCACGGAACCTCGCGGTTACGCCGACGGCGACGGCGACGCCGACGCCGCTCAAGCCGGAAACGGGAGCCTAAGAGCTGCGCTCTAAAAGTTAATAAGAGAAAACAACAAACAGTCAGTCCTAATCAAGATTAAAAATTAAAACACCGCAAGGACACGGACAAGAACAAGAAGGTAGGCGAACAAGGCGCGTTGTTCGTCTACCTTATTGTTCTTGTAGACGAACAAGCGCCTTGTTCATCTACCTTCTTGTTCTCGTCCGTGACCTCGCGCTGTTTTAATTTTTAATCATGAAATACCAACTAGCCCAAAACTTCCACGTTAGTCAACTTCATACCTAATCAAGAGTGAGTTAGGTAATCTGGTCGCTGGGCTCTTGCAGTCTCAGCCATTGATAAGCTCATCCGTTCCAATTGCATGGCGTGTGTCATATATTCTTATCATCTCTAGTCATGGCGTCATCTTCCATACCCCCCGGTCATTTCTGTGTGATTCTGTGTGACTCGAAATCTCAGGGAAGGTTGGCTCCTACAGGTAAGAAGATTGATCTATAAAAATGACAAGGAGGCTAAGCAAGCATGACCTCTCTGCTAGTTGTGCACGCGTCCCCTTTTCCCAATTTGTTTTCCTGTGCATGTAGCCAGATTCGATTGATTGGTTGTTAAAGGAACATTGAAGTGAATTCCAAGCCAGAATGTAATCGATATATTGGGATTGCATTTTCCCACAGATTTTCATTGAGTTAAATGTACAGGAGGGGCTTTGCAGCAGCCAAAAATCCAAAACCTAGGAACATCAAGAAGTTTGTAGCTTGCGGCGCTCCAACACCCATGACCACTGCTATGGCGATGTAGTCAAATTGTGAAGGCGAAGTAAAAATATTTTGGGTGAAATTCACGATTTTCAAAAGAACTGTGGCCTTTTGTTAGAAAGGGTGAACTTATGAAGACTTGCTCTGAGGATTCCTAGATAAAAAAAGGGCAAGATTAAAGGGGTAAGAAACCAGCATCTTTGAACGAACTTGGGAACAAAAGATAAGCCACATTGTGCACAGAAAGGACTATGTTAGAAGTGAATCTAAGTTCCTGCCAACGAGATCCAACAATATATAGCTTCATCGCTCAAGAGTCGAGCTCAAGCTTGCTCATGCCATGATCACGCACACTTTCTACCAAAACTTTTAAACCGGCGACTTCTGAAAACGGTAGGTTATGTATGGGCATGAACTGTGACTAATGTTTTGGTCACAAATGCGGCTGCTTCCCACCTTTATGATGAAAGTAATTCCCACGAGGAAGAAACCAAGAGGGACAAAGGACGAACACGAATCTCCAAACAAAGCTAGGTGACTGGCGCGCGACCTAAGAAATCCGCCAGCTCCTGGATCGCACCAGGGACCTCTCCATTTCCAATGAAGCAGTCTGCCAGCCGAGCTAACCAGAAGTTAGACGTCAGCAGAGCAAACGGGTTTTATCAACTGCCACTAGACTAACACCAATCAGGGCGAACGACTTGCATTTTTAAGGTATTAATTATTATGCAATTAAATGGAAAGGTGCAAGCGAGCTGGACAATAGTGCAGAATGCAATACATAGTTATGAGCTACAAAAGTGTTTTTATACCTCTAAAGAGCGTTGAGAATCCTAACTCATATTTCTCAAACAGGTTATTCCCAAAACCGATCAATTTTAAACCAGAACCAATTCATTGATCGTCATCATCACCGGCTCGGGGTGTCACGTGAAAATATTGTGTCCTTAATCGCCTGCTGCTGGTTCAAACATCTCCGAGTTGTCTGAGTTGCTCGTCCGTTTCGAGCCGGACGCGATCTGAGCAATTCGTCTTGTACATGGGATAGCCAGAGGAACTGCTCGCCAGCAACGCCGGAATTGCTGGGAAAGTTTTCTTGTCTGAAGCGGGCCTAAGGGCGCCCTGCCCCGGAGGTCACCCATCCCGTTTCTCTTGGTAAATATTCATAGCATCGTCACTTTAGACGAGATCGCTTGCACCTTACATTCATTTGCATTATCAATACCACCTGTCTCCCCAAAGAAGTTTACTACAAGAGTCGCTCGACCGTTTTGACGCCTTTCCGATGTCAAGCTCGCGTGTCTGTTTTTTGATTATGATTATTATGTTTTTATTATAATAAGGGCGGCAGTCGAGAGCAATGACAAAGCTGTACGCATCCAAGACTAAACTCCGAATGCTCTACAAAAGCTCACCTCTGGTAACATATTAGCCATCCAGCCTTTCTTCTGGACGCCTGTGGGCCAACTAGGGTGGCGAAATTCTATCACAGGCACGAGGTCCACGTCAATCTGGTTGCCATTTTTGAGTTTGATATGAAGTGTCACGGCAGGGCCGTGCTGCCTCAGCCGTATCTGAAAAAAAACAAAAAAAAAAAAACGTAAAAAACAACCCTCTCCCTCCATCTTTTTTTTTTTTTTTCACAAACGGAAAGTCCTTAATGGCTCAATAGACCACCTTCCTCTCGGGAAATAAAACTTCGAGCCTGTCCCAGCTGGAAATTTAACTTAATTTAAGCATGCATAACTTCAGCCAATATTTCAGGTCATTGCCATTGTAAGTTTTACTGTGTCCTTCTCCCCGGCGTAGGCCTTTGTGGAGGCTCGCAACTCCCGCTTGAGTGCCTCGGCATCTCGGTAAGACAAGAGAAGGTCGGCTATGGCGGCTCAATCTGGCGCGCGCTGAGAGCGTCTATACAATGCAACCCACTTGTAACGATAATGAGAAAACCCGAAATTTTAATCGTCATAATCGTTGTATCTGGACTACAAACTGATCGTTATCGGCGGTATATCGTTAAATGTGGTAAGGTCATAAATGGATTGCACTGTACCACGTTTCATCTTAGGACAGACCGCAACGAATGCTGCAAGCCGTTGAGGGCAATCCAATGGCGTGCGAGCGTCACACGACCTTTCAGAGGAACGCAGTGACGTGTGGGGTGCGAAGTCTCGGAATGAGGTAAAGTTTCGTTAAATAGAATCTTTTCGAAATTCAGTGCCATCTGGGGGTTTAGAAAGCAGTTTCACTTTCGACATACTGATGGTGGTCATAAAACTGCAGTTTATCGGGCACCGTCACCTTCGCACGTCAGTAGCACGCGAGAATAATCCATTCTTGATTTGTTTCGGTTTCCATTATGCAAACACAAGAACTGATCCATGAGCCCCTCGATTCAATTTATGTCATCGAAGGAGACCAAACTTGTGCCGAGAGATTGGTAGGACCAGACCCCGAAAGAAACACTTATGCAGTCATTTTATTCAATTCGTGCTTTTTTGTTACACTGATATCTCGCACGTACAGGCCTCGTATGTCCTACACTTGGTAGTACTTTCTTCAACTTCTTTCTTCGTCGGTCTCAATGAGTCCGCCATTAGGGGCTGGCATACACCAAGATGGTGATAGTGATCAAAGTTGCTACACTGAATTTAGCAAAGGCAAAAAGGGTCTATTGGGTGCGTCGAAACCAAGTTTCGAGCTCCGAAGCAAAACAGAACGCGCATAGAAAAACCGACTCGCGAATGGTGAAATTCGAATGCCCAACCACAACTACCGCGGACAGCCCTCACCTTTTCAATGGCCGAGCAGGGCCCAGAGGAGACGACGTAGGTCCCGAGAACAGAGCCGAGAACCGATTCGAGCCATTGTGTGACCCTGTCTGGAACGAGCCTCCTCTCGCCATCCATCCAATCCAGCAGGAGCGGAACCCACTTGGCGTCCCCCTCCCGGTGCAGCCTGTCCACGGCTGCCGGACTGACTTCGTAGCCGACGTGGCCGGGACATCCGTGCAACGCCTGGAAGGTGCGATTGACGTCGTTCAGAGGACGTACCTGGTACGTAGTTCCGCAGGGTACGGCCACTGACGAGGTGAGAAAGGAAGGGATGAGCTTCGCCTGTCTCGTCTCCAGTGCCTGCTTCCTACCTTCAACAATGCTTCAACGTATTGTGCACTTCGAGCGTGCACGCGCAGCCAAAGCACTGTGGAAGGCATGGAGCATGTGCTGGAGGCTGGGCATTTCAACAACATGGCCTGCCGTTCTCGCTTTGTAAGGGACTCAATCATAATCATCACCAAAGCGCTCGTGAAGGACTAGCGGCGTCATACGTATCCTGTGGTATGCAATCTTTCCGTTAAAAAAAGTGAAAGCCGTTTACGACTCCCTGTAACGCCGAATTGCGGTGCAGCTCTTGAGGAGGGGAGGAAGGTACTGAGGGGAGGGTAGACTCCTCCTGCTCCTCCTTCTCCTCCTCCTCCCCTCATTCTTTAATATGCTCCGGGGGGTCACCTGACCTCGGGGGGAGGGGGTGACGTGACCTCGGGGGGGGGGGGGTTGTCACGTGACTTCGGGGTCACGTGACCTTGGGAGGTCACGTGGTGTGGGGGTCACGTGACCTTGAGGTGACCTCGGGGGGTCGCGTGACCTTGGGGTGACCTTGGTTACGACGACGGAAACGGGCGCCTAAGAGCTGCGCTCTAAATTGAAGGACGTTTACAAATCTCTGTAACGCGAAATTAGAGCGCAGCTCTTGAGGAGGAGGGGGGAGGGTATGCCCCTCTTTCTCCTCCATGACTTTCCATCCTCCCACAGTTTCCCCGTCAAATTTAGCTGAAAAGTTGATGCCAGGTGACCGCAACAGCAATTCAATTCCCCGCTAAATGTGAATTGAATTGCTGTTGAGGTCACGTGAACTTAATTTTCCTGCTAAATTTAGCGCGGTTAGGCCGACACCGCGTCGCCCGGAACCTGGCGCCTAAGAGCTGCGCTCTAAAAGCACGTAGCTCGCCCTTGAATTGGGTTCTTTCTTGTGCCTTTTCTATCTCGAAATAGCCTTTCAGAAAAGCGTCTTGGTCATTTAACAGCAACCTGACTCGCACAAAATGAGACAACCAATTCTAGTGAAGCCGACACTTGATTTGTCAACTGCCATGTTGTATCTTTCTGCAGACTGGTACAATAATGTGAGACAACGGGTTAAATATTACTGTAGGGTAACCTGCACTAACACCTAACTGCACACACAAAAAAAACCTTTGAAAGGACAGGCCTATGGTCAATATGTTGACTCGATAAACACGCTAGTAAGTGATTGTCCCCTCACATATATATTAAAAAACCCGTCTGTTTATTTGCGTATGACCACGAATGACTTCACCCCGCTGCTTTAATCCGATGATACCGTCAATATACGTAAAAAATTAGTTAATAATAAACGATGGTTGTCACCGGTGCAGCTGCAAAACTTACGGTGAATTCGTCCTTCTCGAAAGGAAGGTTCAGCACAAGGTCAATGTCAAACTCGTCTGCCTTTTTGATCCGCAGCCCGTCATTGTAGCTTCCGGTGAATTCGAGCCTGGGAAGCAGCACATTGAAGTATGAGTCCTTACGAATGTTTGTGTGCTCTCAATCAATGGTTCCCACTTGATTTTAGTCCTTTTACAGTTGTCGCCGTACATGAGGCGGTGATTTCATACTTGAAATTTCCCGCACAAACGCCATACAATGTGCAACCCGACAGGTGTACGGTGTTAAAAAAAAAAAAAAGATTGGTTTGCTCTGTATGTTTATACAGCCTTGATGGAGATACGCCACGACGGGTAATCGGTCTCTTAGCTCTAGATGAGAAATTTAGCCAGTGCGGTACAACCGCTAACCTGGGATTTTTAACGTGCATCACGCACTAGTGTAGTGATTACATGAACGCGTGCCGGTACGAAACTCATCCAGATCGAAACGGGCGGGGGCGGTGGGGAATCGAACCCAGGAGGTTCCCAGCGCAAGCGTTCGCTTCACACTCCGAGCTGAGACGCGTTATCCCACTTGATCCCCTTGTACGGTGTTTTGCTTTGCTGTGGCTATTTATAGTTTCAAAGCAAAATAATTCGCGCACCTGATACGCCCGGAATTGTCGCTTCCCATGTCAACTGTTCGGACGATAGTGGCAATCGGAGCGCCGGCTATTTAGGTTACGATTTTTTCACACTATTCAAATATAAGTTCAGATGATGAGAGATTATCAGCCGATGAAGAAGCTTTGTAAAGTACCTTCGGTTCAGAATCAGAGATCCCCAGAGGTTCGCAGACGCTGGCATGTCAAAGTGAAATCGAATGAAAGAAAGGCGACATTTCCTCCTCAATATTCGCATTTGATGCTTCTCAACTGGAACAGCTTGCAAGTGCTGTTTGTGCTCCCATTAAATAAGATATAAAAAAATCCTGCGCATTGATTCTTTCTTGGTCATCCCCTTAAAAAACAACCCCCCCCCCAAAAAAAAAACAAAAAAAAAAACATCTTGTGGAAAAGAATTGCGAAAGGAATTTAAGAAAAAAAAAAGTTAAAAGGTCCTCAATAACGCACGCAACGTTTTCAAGGGCATGGGAACCAGAGTGTTCCCTATTTAAGGAGAAACAGTTTTATGAAGACTAGCGTATTGAGACGAAGGGAAGAAGTTCTATCCTTCTCTTCTAAAGAGAAAGCTTCTGCTTTCTCAACACGAGAAAGCAGACACTTATTTTTGCATATTTTAGGTTGCAAATGAGGAGGCTTTGATTATCGAATTGCCTAGTTCCACCGTCTACCTGAAGCCCACTAAAGAAGAGCAATTTCCTCACCTCTTGAAAAGCAGATGGAAGAGAGGATCCTTCCGCTTCATCTGAACTAAGATGTCGTCCAACAGGCTGTTCAGAATGGTAACATTGGTGGCGGTGACTTCGCTGTTCAGCTTGAGCGACGCATAGATCGACTGAAGCTGAGGCTTCAGATTGGCGTTCAGATCTCTCTCAGCGTGGTCGAAGGGCAGAGATAAACTTACTGTTAGCGGTCTACCAGAATTGGGTTCGTTTTCTCTGGTTCCCTGCACAGTGACATAGCAGAAACACTTTCAGCGCACTTCAAATTGAGGCGGCCATCCTGCCCTTGGCGCACCAGACATCCGAAATTGGCCACGGTAAACCTAGAGCCACTGAATGATCCCAGAGTAGAAGAACCTCATATGCTTCGGTTTGGAACGGCGGAGCAGTGCTTGAATATCGACGGCTACGGTGTGGTGGCACTCTGCAATCAGATTGAGTAGGGAAGACAAACCATAAATAGCCTTCTTCTTTTTTGTCCGATCGCCTTCCGAGTTTCGTCGAATTCTGAATAAATGTACTGTACCTCACCACGTTTTCAGAGTTCTAGTACGCGCACGTTTTTTTATTTCTCGCTTAGTTCCTCTAGAGCGCCGAGGCGCCCAGCCACGGCCGATGTCGTGCGGAACTCGGAGAACATTCACTGGCTCTAGGGGAAGTCACGTGAGGGACGAAAAATCCGCATGTTAGAAAGTGAAGCAAACAGAGTTTTCTGAAGAAGCAAAATGTAGAGGGCGAAGCAGTTGGGTGGTGTGAGCCGTGAACACCTGCTCAAAAACGGCATGCGCTAATGGCTCGCACGCAGCCTATTTCAATGGCACTTTCAATGTATAGACAAAAAGGAGTACTGTTACTTCAAAAGCCACGAGCTAATGGCTCGTGGTTTTCGAAGTACTAGCACTCCCGTTGCGTGAAACATAAAGAGAATAGTTTTGTTAACCACAGCATGGCTTTCCCAACTATGTTGGTACAAACTTACCCAAGTTCTTTTCCAACCTCTAAAATATTAGTCGAAGGCATTTAGGTTTGCTGTAGACGTGTTATATCTGTGTTTATACGGTACCATAGGCGAAGATCTGTCCAAACACACATTTTCAGCCGAGTTTTCTTCTTTGCAAGTGTCATGCCAAGCGGGCATGACGACGAATTGCTGCCGTTACGCGATTACATATGTCGATATCGCACGGAGCAGTCGGTTCGTCAATCAACTTATCAATTTTCTTCGCAGCTTCCGATCGATTTTCATTCGTCACCGGCGGAACGTTCTGGATTTCTATGTTGTGGTTTAGAGAGTATCGCTTGCAGCGCTAGCCGACTTTCATTCGGTTTAGCTTGTTTTTTTAAGGTTGCACATTCTTCGCGAAGACGAGCGTTTTCAGTTCCCGAACTGTCATGTTCTTTTTTTTTTTTTTTTTTCTCAACCCGTATTTTCTGAAAAAAACTTGGTTGAAACTTTCGAGACTGACCTTTATCACTCCGAGTTCTTTTCGCATTTCTCTCTCGAAAGCACAACGAAAGCCTCTTAGTTCTTGCCATAACTCTGTTTTAATGTTTTCACAGAATTTAGCGAAGTCTGCTGTCATTGTACAACTTACTAAACAAGAACGCAGAAGAGCAAAACACTAAGTGGCAGCAGCGTCCGCGCTACAAGAGACAAACGGATATGCGATAAAAAGATTTGTTCCCAACCTGTAAACAGGAGTACGGCACGAGTTTCCTGCAACTTTTCGCTGCCGCCGCTGACAAAGAAAGTGTCGCCTCTCGAAGGCTCCCTTCAGCTGCTTGTGGTGCTGACATTTTTCTGCCAGCCTGTCTTGGTTTAATCCATGGCAGCTTATCCCAAAAAGCTGACGGTTCGTTCGGGACAGGATCGTAGATGAGTCTGTAAACAGGAGTACGGAAGTCTTCTGCAACCTTCCGCTGCCGCCGCTGCCAAAGAAATCTTGTATTTAATCATGCCCAGTAAGCTTTTAGTGTAAAATGTGCAGTCCATTGTGCACACTGCTTCATCAAGTGGTGTCCAACATCTACCTGCCGCTAACCTTCCTAAATATATCATGACAGAGCGCCAAGAAGCCGTCACCAAATTTAGAGGTCAGATGCTAGACATTGGCTGATCACCGTGTGACAACTTAAGGAAATGTACGCTGTAAAGACGAAAAAAATTCAGTGAAAAGCCAATCACGTGCATGAAGTAGTGCTTATTGCTTCAACAGTACAAGCTCGAAAAGGGACCTCACAGATCTCGATTCATAGGCAGCGCAATAAAGAATAAAGCTGTACTTACGTCGCTCCCGCTCGTCGTCGATCGTTCATATGCCAGTTGAACAACCGTTGATGGCAGGAATCTTGAAGTGATTGACGATTTTTAGCGTAGCCGCGGTCAAAGAGGGCCCCAAATAGAGGAGCCGCGAAATGGAAAAAGCGCGCCATGGGCTCAGATAGATGGATGGATGCTGAACAAATCCTAATGTCTGTACCGTGGCGGTGCCCTTTATATACATCGCTTGCACTGACGTCACATCCCATACCTTTGACCACCATGTAAGAGGAGGAGAGGGAAGCTGTCCTTGTAAGAATTTTGAAGGACGGGTTAATCTACTATGATCTTCTATAGGAGGTGAATAGCGACGCTTGTGTCGACGTGGGTGTGAGTCCCCGTGCTCTTTTTAGCGTTTGAACTGTTGATTCCAGATCCTCCTGGCAATGTCTGACTAGTTGAGCGGCCTCAGTGAAATTACCGAGGCTCGTTACACAGCAAAACTTCGCGTGAATAATAGGCGAGTTAAGTCCGTGCTCCAGAGCGCCAGAGTTTGGCGCTCCCTTCACTGAACGGACAGGAGTGTGCCCGTTCACACACTTGCGTTCGGAGCGACCACTACGCTTACGAACGAATGTAACCGGTTGGAACGACGAGTTTCCATACCAGCGAAGTGCCAAACTGCCGTTTCGTTCGTGTTCGTTCGCAACGCAAGGAGTTGAGCCGGGCTGAATGTTTTCCTAACTCATGTTCACAAGCGAACCGGAGCGCCCCTGGTGGACGCCACCGGCGCCGCGCATGCACGATGGGAGCGTTGGCAAGAAGCTCGCTGTCGCCCATAAACAAACCACTGGAATGGGATGTTGTCGGCGTCGGTGTGAGTCCCCGCGCTCTTTTTCGCGTTTGAGTGAGTAGACGAGAGCTCGAACGATGAGGCGGCCGTTTGTGTTTATGTGTTTATTTTTCCACCTTGTAAAAATACAAATGGAGGGGCTGTGAAAAAAAAAAAACGCTGCGCTTAGAAGTTTGACGAGCCCACAGTCCCTGCATTAATGGCAACTAAGCAGCACTACGGTGCAAGTTGGCGGTTTTCCCGCGTTCATTCTGGGACAAAACAAATAAATCTGACGATCACAAGTATCCGTGAATTCAATCCTAAGTGCTTTCCGCCCAAGCAATCGTGGTCCGACGGCGTCTGTTTTTCCTTTTTCGCGGCCCCTGTTCAGGTTTTCTGACGAACCGAGCAGGCAGAAAACGCATAAAAACAGACCTTCAAACCTTTCCCGACCCTTTTGGTAAAGGCTCAGTCGCGGCGTTTTGACAAGAAGGCAAGTTTTGTCGGGTTTCTTCCGAAGTAACACAATAATGCACGTGCCCCATGGCCGCTTCCGCCCACAGCCTCAGACCGGAAGTGCGTCCGACGCGCCACCACCGCGCCGTGACGTAACAGACGCGAGTTCGGGAACGAAGGGAGCGACCACACCGACAGACAATCACAGGTCAGCGCGTTGCATGCCGGTGGTGCCGGTCGCGGTTCCTGCTATCTGCACACATAGCGTCGGTGGTGATCGTCGACGTGGTCGGCGTAGTGGAAGCTCATCGTTCAGCGGGAAAAGCGCAATCCTTAGGCGCGTGAATTCGGCCCTCCTTTACCTTTATCTGACCGCTCCGAGTTTCATATTCCGAGCGCTGCAACTACACGACGCATGGCGTACAGGAGCGCAAAATACCGAAACTAGGGACGAGCCGAACGAGCTCCTTCCGACCGCACGGTTATGGCGAACCCGCCATCTAGTGGATGCGGCTGGCAGAAGCCGAAATGATTTCGAAGCGAAAAATTAATTAGGCCTGTGTGGAGCGGCAGAGTAAGAGACGGTGACGTTATGAAGTTTCTACGAACGTTTTAATATTTCTGAAACGTTTCAGGACTCTCTTCCAGCACATTGGTGAAAAGTTACCTCGGCCGACCTACCTAGTGACCGTGCATGCTGTTCATATATAAATTTAAGATATGAACATATTTGAGCCCGCTTGTCCACGGAGGAAATCCTCAGTCTTGTCGGATATTTCGTAGTTCCGTCTAAAAGCACGAGACGGAAGCTGTCGATGTGGCCGATACCGGCACATCGTCATTCAATATACAGTACGGCAGTTCGTTTTCAGGCGAGAAGCATGAACAAACCTTTTCCGCGACGCTAATCGCAGCATCGCGCAGCCGCATAAAGGAGGCGCAAACGCGAAGGCGCCCGAGGGCGCCGATCCGAAACGGTCGGGCAGTCGTAGATAGCGCGCTCGTTGCAGATGTCTGAACCAGAGATTGGAAAGCCGAAGCATCAGTTGGCGTTGCGGGAAAGCTTTGTTCATTTATCTCGGCTGAAAACGAATTCATCCATCGAACGGTAGCGTGCCGACCGCACAGCGACAGAAAATTTGTTGAGATGAGACGACAGTCGGAACGCTGCATGCTGCTTTGCCCAGCGAATCAAGATACTTTGATTGGAAAGCCGAAACATATGAGTGAAGTGTTGCGGGAAAGCTTTGTTTGTGCATACCGCCTAAAAACGAACTGACGTGCTATCGAATGACGGTGTGCCGGTATCGGCGAAGCTTCGGTTTAACGCTGCGAGTCGGAACCACAGAATTTCTCACAAATTTGAGAATTTCCTGCGTCGACAAGCGGGTTCAAGAATGTCGTCTTTAATTTCAGTCGGACAAGCATGCATGGTCAATAAATAGATCGGCGCAGTTAGCTTTCCACATATATGCCGGGAACGAGCCTTCAAACCTTTTAGGAGTATTCAAACGTTCGTAGAAACTTTACAACGTCGCCGTCTCTTTTGCTTTATGCTCTGCCGCTCCACACACAAGCACATAATTTATCTTCGAAATAATTTCGGCTTCTGCCACCCGTATCCAGGAGAAGCCGTGTTCGTCATACCCGTGCGGTCGGAAGGAGCTCGTGGGGCCCGTCGACAGTTTCGGGCCGTGTTCCAAAGGTCCCGTGAGCTGTCCTTCTGCCGGTTGAAGTTGTGGAGGGAGGCCTGGAAAAGTCTCGGGTACGGCTGTGACTTCGGCGCCGGTGTCGACCTTGATGTTCACGGAGTGACCGTCGACGGAGACTTGCGTGAACTTGGCTAAGGGGCGCGGCATCACCGCGTGCAGCTGAAGAGAGCCAAGTCGGTCCCGCTGTTCGCAAACGGCTGCGTAGTGACCTTTCCGCTTGCGGCGGTTGCACGGGGGTGAGCGGTGCGGCCGCAGTAACGGCAGAGGTTGTCGCTGCCGTGCTTGTCGCGGGCCGCGTGCTTGCCAGTGCGTGTGTTCTTGCGCTTTTTTTGCCCCGGAGCGTTGTCGACCCTCGGAGTCGTGCTTGCGTGTCTCGGCGACCACGTGGCCAGGAACAGACTGTGCGAAGAGCGTGTTACGTGCACGCCCGGCGTCCTCGTGGACACGAGCCTGGAGGCGGGCTTCGTCCAGCGATAGCTTGGGACTTCGGCAAAGTTTGTTGACGACTGCCCTTGTAGTGAAGCCCCACGACGAAGCGGTCCCTTGCGAGTCGGTCTTCAACTGCTGTCGACGCGTAACCGCTTTTCTTGACGAGGGACCGGAGCCCCGTGAAAAACGCGTCCACGCTTTCGCCGGGTTCTTGGATGCGACGATGAAACACGACGCTTGCGTATACCTCGTTGGTGGGATGCACGAAGTGGCGTGTGAAGGCTTCTTTCACGGCGTCGAAGGACAGTAGCGCTTCCGAAGACAGGCCGAATGTCTCGAGTACGCGCCGAGCCTCGTGGGAGCCCATGAGGTGGAGAAGAGTCCGTACCTGGACTTCGTCGGCGGCTAGGTGTAGTCCCGAAGCGAAGCCGAAGTCTTCGAAGACTGTAATTCATTGTTCCCAAGTGCTGGGGATCGCAAAGTCGAACGCAGGCGGCGACGGGAGGGACATGTGGGGGGACTGTCGAGCGGCTGTCCGCTAAGACTTGTCTCCTGCTGCGTAGCTGGCGGAGCCATGCCGGCCGTGTCGAGCGAGCGTAGCTGGCGGAGCCATGCCGGCCGTGTCGAGCGAGCGGGCGAGCCAGCGAGCGTAGCTGCGTAGCTGGCGGAGCCATGCCGGCCGTGTCGAGCGAGCGTAGCTGGCGGAGCCATGCCGGCCGTGTCGAGCGGGCGAGCGAGCGAGCGTAGCTGCGTAGCTGGCGGAGCCATGCCGGCCGTGTCGAGCGGGCGAGCGAGCGAGCGTAGCTGCGTAGCTGGCGGAGCCTAGAGGACTGTATAGCTCCTACGGAGCAGAGTAGCGCAATCCTTTGAACCGCGTGTTTTTACGACAAC